CAAGGGGAGGAGCTATGATGTCGCGAGCAAGGGGAGGAGCTATGAAGTCATGAGCAAGGGCTACTTCCCTTGGACTTTCCCCTGTGTCCCATGTCCATACCCTTCATGCTTGCCCCCTTGTGGATCAGGTTTCTTTTTTAAAGGGGGAGGGGGGATCGACTGGGAACCTGCCTAGTTTCATTAGTAGGAAACGCTATCTATCTATCTATGTAATATAAATAAATACATAAGAATGTAAAAAATAAAAATTATGTAAAAAAATAAAAACAGGCAAGTGAGAACAATTCCTCAAAAAAAAAAAAAAGCATGTAAATAGTTACTTTATAAGACCTGTGCTGTGTTTCCTAAAAGCATTATAAGCATATCGGCATTGCCATCTTTGGACTCTACGATCAACTTGCAGCCATGGCCCTTTAAAAAAAGTTATCAAATTAATACAAAAACTTTTAACATTTAAAATGTTAATTTGTACATTAAGCTGTTAAATGCATTTTAAAATGATACCTTTTACCTTTCTGCTTCAAGGTAATGCACCCACAAGAACGAAGCACACCACACCAGCAGAAACTGGAGAAAAACACAGGGTGAGTGCCTGAGCATTTTAAGCACTAGCTGCATTACTAAAAACAACTGCGTCCCCATTTCATTGTTTACCTTTCTGTAGTTTTCATATCGCTAACATCAAACCTCACTGATCCTTGTGTGTCACACAACTTACACACGAAGTGATGTTACGAAAGTGTTGCCATATTTGATTTAGGCCTTGTACACAAGTTGATCAAGTTTTATACATAGAATGAATACAGGGTCTCCGCAGGTCCTTAAAAAGTCTTATCACATCGGTTTTATGACATTGAAGGCAATAAAAAGTCATGAAAAGAATACCCACGCAATTGCTTATGATGTATGGTTAATGAATTATGATATTGTTTATTTTATGGTGTTTTTTATTGTATTATCTTGTCCTTTATCTTTTTGAATGAGCATAGAGTAGCAATGCCAAGTAGTATATGAAAATATATAAAAATGTATATAGTTATTACATGGTATGCATTAAAATTCTGATAAAGATCAATTTATAGGGTTCTTTTTAATTATTGATCTGACTTTTCACTGTATTGTCAATAGACTGAAGAAGAAACAGGCAGGCTGGCAGGACATGAGAGGAACATACCAATAACAACAACAGAAAGTTCACAGGTGAGAAGTGATAGTGGCTTTTAAACACACCTGCTGTTATTTATTTATTTATTATTCCTTATTATTCAATTTAGACCACTCATAAAACTGTCTTGCATATGCCAAACATAAAACAATGCGCATCACAGGGAAAAGGATACCATGACCTGCCACGGCAAGGCGCGTTCTAGAGTGAAGTTCTCTGGCACATGAAGTACGTTACCAGTAGGGGGCAGTCGTGTTTTACATGCTTGTCGTGGGCATTTGAACATTATTGTTGCACTTATATTGTATTACTAAATTCATAGGATTATTACATTTTTAGTTTGAACACTACTAATAATATTTTGTGTGTGCATGTGTTGGTCATACAGATAAAAGCAAGACATAATTAGTAAATTTACCAAAGATATTCAGATTTAGTAAAATAATGAAAACAAAGTGAATGTCTCTGTTTCAGTTTCAGATGCGTCAAGTCAGAATATTTATTGTAAAAATGTTACTTAAATAATATATAGCTTCACTGTGATTTGTGATATATTCTCAAGGGAGAAAAAAACATTAAAAACATCCCCCCTCTGGTTTGTCCACAAATTGCACCCTGTGTATAAATAACATGATGTGAGAATAAATCAGAGGCCTGTTTCAGAACGCAGGTTAACACTGAAATGAATGAAACTCTGGGTTTTCGATTTCAGAATGGGAGGTTTGTCAAACCCGAGAAAGCAGTCAAGCCCATTTCTGAAAGAGAGGTAACTTATACTCAGGGTGATTACTCTTCTCTTCTCTTACTCTTCTGTGAACCTAACCTGTTTAGAAGCAGGTTTTCTTCACTTAAACCCGAAGTCTCTTTTGGACTCCTCCCCTTTTTAAAAGCGTAAGTCAGGGCTGCCCAACCCTGTTCCTGGAGATCTACCAACCTGCAAAGTTCAGCTCCAACCCTGATCAAACACACCTGAACTGGCTAATTAATCTCTTAGGCAGCACTTGATAATTACAGACAGCTGTGTTGGAGCAGGGCTGGAACTGAAGTCTGCAGGATGGTAGATACTTAACGTACGTGATTCATTCATTCACACTGCAAAAAATGCTTTTCTTTGCGAGTATTTTGGGATCCAAATTAAGTGCATTTTATTTAAATCAAGAAAAATGTTTTAATGCAAATGGAAACAAGATCATTTTTCTTATCTCACTGGCAGATAATTTGCAAAACAAGAAAAATACACTTAAAAGAGTAAATACGTTGTCATTTTTCTTATGTAGATAATGCATCTTGATTTAAGAATCTGTAGGTTTTTGACTGGAAACAAGAAAAAAAATACTATAGTAAGAAAATATTTTTTTTGCAATGCAGGTATATTCATTCATTGCACATATTTTCACCATGCTGACCTCGTGAAAGTGACAAAAACGGCATGTCCTTTTATACAGAATCCTGTAGATGAGGAGCCTGCATTAATACGTAGGGAGTTAAATTTATATCGGGAGAGGATTATTTAGATTTTTTTTCGCCATATCCACATGCATATTTATTTGACCATATTTATTTTATTTACCATCCTTGCTTTCGCACCCCAAATGATCGCGCCTAATGTGAATAGCCCCATAGGGATCTATTGTTACGATTCAAAAGCGCCATTGCCTCGAGTTTTCGCATTCACTGTGAAAAGGCCGTTAGGCTGTCCAGCAGTGTGACTGAATTCAATCCAATTGGAGGGGGTTGGGGATTTGGGCAGTTCATACATATGAATGTATGTGTATATATATA